ATTTCAGGGCACGGTTACTCTAAAAGCCACTCAGAGGCCTTACATTTATATTCCCAGAGTGAATGCGTTGACATGATTTAGATTAAGTATCTGCAATTGGTATGAGGTCAGGGCTAAGATACTAAATACTGAGCATACTGCCCCTCTTAGTCCTAAGCTTCAGGTACCTGTGTTTAAGGTGTGAAAGCAGAGACGTCAATACAATCATCATTAGTCTGGTGAACAGAAACGGAATTCTGAGCTGTCTTCTGCAGATATTTCTGGTACGAGCTGCAGGACCACTTTCTAAATACACTGGTAGTTAGGTCTTTAAGACCAAATGGGGAGCCTTATTGGAAAGGGGTTCTCTCTGAAAAGCTGAGCTCCTCCCAAGCCCACCAGGAGGAATTTGATCAGTCTGGGAAGTGATGAACAAGGCTTCCAGGGGACTGAGGACACTGTGCAGGGTTCTGGGAGCAAGAACCTGGAGAGGGGTCTGGACCCTGGGGGCCAGGCTGGATTGGGGCAGCGCTAGCCACAGTAGGTAGAAGGTGAAAGAACCATGCCAAAAGCAGGATGTCCTGCCTGACTGGGCCCTAAGTGGGGATTCTTTAATTTTCCACAGCACAGCTGATAAGAAGTTCTTATGGCTTAAATCCTTCATCTTACTGCTTGTCACATAATCACAGAGGATATTTATTGTTCTTGCTCCTGCCATGCTTTGGGCTTAGGGTTTTTGTCATTCAATTCTCATAGGATTTCTGTGAAGGGGGATAACTAGATTCCACTGCAGACAGAAAACTGTTTCAGAGAGATTAAATGACTAGCTCAAGGTCACACGGTGTTTGGGAAAGTGGCTAACATTTATTAAATACCTACTTCTGTTATTTTTTTTTTTATTGCTTCCCATGTTATCTATAAAGGGAGTACTGCAAAATGATCGATGATTTTACTTACTGGTTAATTTAACACTCTCAAAAATTCAATAAAATCTAAGTAGGCCTCTCCTGCCATTGAGGAAATGGAGGCTCAGAGGCGGGTTGGTGAATTGTCCAAGGTCACTCAGGAGAGAAGCCAGGCTGTGACCCCTAGCTCCAGCACACTGCCTTTCTCACTGTAATGCTGGGTCAGCTTCCCCACTGTGCTTGCAGACAAGTCCAACAACTCAGCAGTTATTAAGCCCTGAGAGCCGTTTCCTGGAGCGCCTGAAAATTTAAATCACTACCAAAACAAGGTCTGGTGCATCTGGCCCCTTTCAAATTAGAAAGCACTTCCAGATAGGCTGATGCGACTCACAGCAACAGAACACCCCGTTTCTAAGCCCCTTTGAAGGTAGCTTCGTAGGGACAACTGGCCTTGTCCTAGGCAGACTTCTGGTACAAGTTCACTCAAGGAAGTAAAACTATTCTTCAAATCAGACAGGCCACTGGAGCAGTACTGGAGCTTCATCTGTGCCACAGGAATGATGGGATTGGGACATCCTGGGAACAGGGCCAAGTGGGAGGAACCAATGATCCCTAGAAAGGCTTTAGCCATGACCCAATCCGATTAACTTGGCCCTCGCCCAGAGGCCTCGGATGAACGCAGATGCTCAGCAGGTTTCCCCAGGTTCCTGCACCTACCTACCTAGCACAGCATCCTTCTGTATTCTGCCCCCAAGTCTACTTCACTTCCCAGAGCTTACTACAGGAGGAATTTTGTTGCTTCTACGTGTGACCAAGTGGAACCTTCCATGTCATAGGCTAACCCTGACCACCTGGAATTTAACATTCGACTTGACATTGGTCCCTGTAGTTCTGCCAGGGCCATTCTGACAGCAACTGAAAGCCATGTATATTTGCATGGAGGTGGGAATTGGAGAGAAGGGGAAACCACTGGGTTTTGGCTCTTTTCCTCTCTCCCTCCTATCACTATGGAAATGTTACACTTTTCCTGCTTCCCCCATTGAGACAGCAGCGCAGCCCATAAATAGCCAGGTACATGGTGACAGGACAGGAGGCTCTCACCTTTCCCAACAGAAATGAATGCAGAGAGGGGACTTTCAGAGATTCCCTTTGCACCAGCTTCATGCCCAGTGCACAAAGCAGAATGGAATACCTATCGTTCTAGCAGTGGGCACCTGAGAAAAGTGGTGGGGTTTTTGAAAAGCAGGGAAATGGCATCCAATGTAGTCTGGTTTAAATTAGCAGATCTGAGCCAAATCCCCATCTAACTCTCAGCTCTATCACTCAGTTTGTATATCTTGGGCAAAAGATACTAGATATCTCTGATCCTTTTAATTCACCTCTAAAAAGGAGATAGATTCTCCAGATTTATTGTGAGGACAGGTGCATGAAGTCCATTTTAAGACATTCCAACCATTTTCTTTCCTCCCTCACATACCCTTTAAGAGAACCTCTCCATCTCATGCCTACCCCATCCCCAACCCACAGCTGATCTGTCCAGCTTGGGTCAGGTGTCCCCCACTGGCCTAAGGAACCCTGTGAACTAAAAGATGTCTGGGTCATTTTAGACATACTGGAAGGTGCTCAGAAAACCAAGCCACTGGGCGTTAAAAAAAAAAAAAAAAGGAAAAAAGAATAAAACAGATTCACAAAGAAAAGAAGCTGACCTAGATTAGAAATCCCCACATAGAAAGCAAGCTTGGTTCCAGATGGGACTTTGGCCTCATGTGGGATTCACCAGGTCCCTGTACCTATCCATGATCCTTTATATCACGAATGAGGATGGTTTGAGCCATCGGATTTCTGGCAACCAACAGCAACAGACCCTAAGAGAGATGGTGTGAAGTACTTTACTCAAGTACCTATTATGTGTCAGGTGCTAGACTCACAGTAGCTATTATTTCAAAACATCTCACTCACAATTTACTCCTATACACCTAATAGTTATGGAAGATACTAACATAAGCAGATACTCAGTGGGACTACCTGAATGCTTAGTCAGACTAGATCGTTTCATGAACAATGTCTATGTCAACTGCAGAAGGAAGCTTAGGACAGTGAACACACTCTTCTATTTTTTTTATATAAGTCTTTCACATTAAATAAACGCCTCCTTGACTACTAGAGAAAAAAATAATTATCATATTCCACTGAAGCTGAGAAATAAAGCAACCTCTGTTTATTTTTTTAAAAGATAAACATGACTGATCTGCACTAATTATAACATTTGAATAAAACAATGTTCAACATTCTTAGTCTATAAATAACTAATACCCTATTTTGCTTATTCTGTTAGCCAAAGATAAGACAAATGAGAAATGCAAATGAGAAAACTGGATAATGCTTATTGATTTAAAGGCATCAGATATGATATTTGATTCTGAGGAAATGAAGACATAAACGGGAAAAAACAACGCCTATAGCAATGAAATTGGTAAAGAATGACATTTAAAGGTCGGTACATAAATTTTACATGCTTGACTTGACAGACTGGAACATTTTTCAAGTCCTTAATTATGAGAACAGCAGCAAAACGTAAGACAATTAAAACCTGGCATTTAAGGATCTGCTGTGTTGTTACGAACACATATATGACAACGATTATCAGTGAAGCCCAGGAAACTACTCTATTTGCCACTACTACTCTATGCATGCCAACGTGCACGGACTTTGTTGCACTTCCAAACGTGTTCCCTTGTTCTGGGTTTAAACTGTACCTTCGGATACAACAGCCTGAGAATCACAGGGTTGTAATGCATGGCTGCAGACCCAGTCTCACTGCGCGACAATTACAGCACATCAATAAGCCCGTTTGTAATGAAAATAGCAAAACCAGGCTCAAGTGGGCACCCTCATGTTATAAATACATCACATATCAAGATTATAAATTACAGAAATAAAGACAAATAATGGCATGAAGGGCATGATAGTTTATTTTAAAAAACTGTACCACACCGATCATAATGACCAGCATACACATTATGATGGCTTTTCTCTTGGGTATTAACATTGCAGTATTTTTGTATACTGAAATGTTTCAATAGGACCAAGAACGTTAGAGAAATAAAGATCTTAGATGAAAATGAACACTAATAATTCTGGTGTCCTACCCCCACAGAATTCATTTAAACCCCTTACGAATCAGTGGCATTATAATGTTATGTAGTTATGAAGAACAAAAGTTCTCTTCTAAGTAGGCAGCATGAACTTATACCTCCTTGTACTTTAGTTTTTATAATTTAAGCATGTCCACCCTGGCTAAAGCACAATCATAAAGACACCTCAGATAATTTCCATGCTACCACTGCACGACTTTAGTGATTTTACTTAAAAAAAAAAAAAAAAAAAAAAACCCACCATCAAAATAAAGAGGCAAATAAAACTGATTTTCAAATCATTTAAAAAGCATAGTGCTTATCTGTCCAATACAGACTCAAACTTAAATCAAATGCTACAATTATAATCTCCAAACTTCTGCAGTAAAGTTAACATATATATATATGGGTTTTGTTTATAGAAGTGTATTTTGCAATCAACAAGAGGAAGTTACTTTTGAGAGAACGATATATTTGGTTACAATTCCACGTATCTGGAGTAAAGACGAAGCCACATGATGTTAAATCTGGCTCTAAGTTACCTAAGGTATAAAATTTTGATCAAAATTATGACACTCTGATCTTAAAAATTCAACCCATATGAGATGTTTTTAGAGTAAATATGCTATTGAGTAATTATTTCAATAATCCTTTCTTTTTTGACTGTCTGCAAATTGACCCTTTCTCTTTTAATCAATGTGACTCACCAAAATTTCAAACTGACCTCTTTACTTCTGTGTTACCATTTCAATACCCAGGGACTTCTGAGGCAGCATTAAGTCTGACTTCATAAAAACAGTAGATACTTTAACCTTTCAGTGACAATTTATAAATCTGTAAACTCAAAAATCACATTATTTATAGCTCAGCAACTATAAAAACATTGAGAGATTTTTGGCATCTGAAGCCAGAATCTCTTTGTGCTTTTTAAATTAAGCTGCTTTTGAATCTTTTTGGTATTTATCAGCCATTCATATTTCCCTTATAATAATAAAATAATATATTTAAAACAATTTTTAAGGTTAAATGTCCTGGGGGTTTATCAATAGTTTAAAAAAATTATTATTTTTTTTCCTTCAGCATTTGGAATAGTAGAAATTATTTCTGGTCCCTCTTTAGATCAACCAACACTACTTTCAATCACGTATAACACTGAATTTTACAGACATCCCTGAAAAGTTTTTGATTAAGTAAACGAGTGAATCACAGTGGAGTCTCAATCAGTTAACAGTGTAGATCCATTAAAAAAAAAAAAAAGAATATTAAAATCTTCAAGCTAGAAGGAAAGAAAGAAAGAAAGAGAGAAGAAAACCCTCCGAAGAATTAAAACCGAGTATGTGTCATCACTGATTCTGTGCTTGTGTCCCCAACTGATTAGACTCCTCCTCCTCTGTGTTCTAAGACATGTTCGTGTCATTCTCCACGCCAAGTTTCCAGGACACTTGCGTGAAGAGGCTATGCTACCACAGCATCTAAGGGAACAGGGTGGCACCATTTCTTCCCTAACAGACTTCGTGTCCAAAGATGAGCATCGGGCCTCCCTCCACGGCGCTCACCAGCGTGTACCAGGAGACAAAACTGGCCGTGCAGGCGGAGGACAGCTGATCCGCCCACCCCGCCCCCAGCGCCAATATGAGGTTACCAACAGGTCTGTCGTTATGTGCACTGGCCTTTCACTCTTTCGATCAAAAAAGTTGTGGTTACTTTTAAAAAAAAAGGGGGGGGGAGGGGATAGAGAAATGAAAAACCAAGAGTTTAAAGGCACAAAGTCGCATAGCTGCTCAAGTTGGAGTTTGTAAACAGAGAATAGGTTGAATTTACGTAATCCCAATCTATGAGAGTAAAAAGGCATCCACAGCAGGCTTCCATCCAGCCAGCTGCTTTGAGACCCTTCATGGGTTTTGAGGTCTACAAAGTATGCACTAAAATACCCATACTTCAAAAAGCAATAAGGCAAATAGTATAATCATTATTCCAAAAGTTACAATGGTAGTGTAGGCATACATAGTATAATTTAGTTACAATGTGTGGTACTGTTTCTATTATATAACCATATTAACTGTTTCTTTCCTACATAATTATATATTCAGCCGAGCTTCAGTTGAACACAAAACCATCCTTGTACCACCACTGATAGTTGGCAACAGCTCTTTGATAGCAGTTTTTATTCTGCTGTAGAAATATCCTTGAACTGAAAAAAGTCCACAACCCAATGTCCAGTCATTAAACACTATCATATTTGTGAAGAGCTTCTTCCAACTTCTGTGTCACTTTTTGGAAAAATATTATTTGCTGCTGTAAGAAATGCTGCATCTGTGATTTAAAGTCTCTTACTCGGATTTGATGGAAGTGGTGAATTTCAGCCAAAGTGGCAAAGGAAATAGTGTTACAGCGATCTTGAATGCCATCGGCCTTTTGCAGCTCCATCTTCCCTTCTTCCACGTGTCGCCTACTCTCCTTTACTTTGGTAAGAGCTCCTGTAGTTAAAAAAAAAATAATTAAGTATATGTACATATGTATCCCAATGGCACAGCTACAGAGCAAACAGACTCTCGAGCATTATAAATACTTGCCCAAGCTATTTAAGGCCCTCTGGAACTTAAAGGGATGACCATTAATAAAAAACTAAGGAATCTGATAGGGTTTCTGAAAACCCCTCCACTGCTGTGATTTCACTACTCTAAACCAGCACTTGCCAAGTGACCAAGTATCTACAGTGTATTTCATCTCCTCCAAGTAGAGAGACTATATGGAACAGATCATAAACTGCAGCAAGGGGCTGTCTCTAAACATACAAAACAAGAAAATGGATTTTTACTTAAGAGAAAGGGTGTGACACCAGGACACACACCTGTAACAAGAAAGTTATCTATAAACACATTACCCCAGAGAAGGTAAAAATCTACTTCCTGAGAAAGTCTCCCGGAAGAATTCTTACAGAAGATTCTAGAATTTGACTCTGATAACATGTTAGTGCCAGCTTTGTGTTTTAGTAATCAGGCCATGTCAGGGAGGGGCCTTAGAAATGATGGCAGTCTGCAATGGGAGGCCACCCTCAGTGGAGTTGGCCAATGTAGGGGCAATTTCATGTTCCACCAGGAGACCCACACCGGAGCACTGAGGCCCTTGTGAAGGAAGAATTTACCACCTTTCCTTGAGGGGCTTAAGGATCAAGGAGCTTTGAGTTTGCTTTAGTGATAACCTGGGAATGAAGCCAGCGGGGCCATAGCCTCTTGTCAAGTAATGTCACCAGAGGGTGTGTGCAAGCATGGTCACTCTGGCAGGTGCCACACGAGGGCGGATTGCCCCCAAAAGCATCATTACATGAAGACACAGAGAGCTAAAGATGTTTAGGTGTAGGAAACAAAGGATCTTCACAGGTTCTTGGAAATGTATGATGATGAAGCTCAAATCACTTGAACATAGCCAGTTCAAGAATTCCGATCTTCCAACTCCATCCACCACTTACTCTAATAACCCATGACCAAAGGGGAGAGAGAAATGTCCCAGACACCTGGCTGGGCAGTCTTCAACATGGTGATACCAAGGGGGACAAAAGAAGGGAAGCTGTTTAGGAGGAGGTGCGAAAGCGGAGGAATTCTGGTTCAGAAATGTTTAGTTTTAGCCAATGGTGAAATACACAAGGGGAAAAGCCCTATTCTAAATTTCTTCACATCCCCTAAATAATACAGAGTTAGACCTAACATTACATAAAACCCTCAGGGGGTAAACAGCGTGCTTGTTTTGGGGAGGCGTTTTTTGGCATAGCTCAAAAACCTAAGAAATTAAAGGTGTTATACATACATTTACAGATATGTATGTACATTTTCATTTCTTTGTTCTGAATGAGGTCTTTAAGTGAGAAGCAGTAGAGACTTCCACCTCACCCCACAGCAGAGATGCGGGGTCTCCTCTGTAGAGAGAAATCATTTGCATTAACATGGCTTCAAGAAGACCCCTGAGCAATCCCGTCAGGAGGCCATCCCTCTGGAAGTGGACACTTGACACCCATCTGCCACTGCCGGCAGGACTAGCGAAGTCACAAAATCTGCCTGCTTGTCATTTATACTAAAGAGAAAGAACTCTCCTCCCAAAAACAGAAAAGAAATAAATTTTTATAGCAAATTTATCTTTCTTTCTTATACTTGTTTAAGTCTTACAATTTATATACAAAAATTAAAATCAAAAGGACCAGGAAAGCATATGAAACAGAAATAAAGGAAAAATTTTTCAAAAAGATGACTGAGAATACGCAATTATGAAATACATGTTTAAATTGGCAAAAAGAAAGACAGACAGAATGAGAGGAAATGGGAAGTTAAGAGACTCAGGTGATTTGACTATTTTATCATGATTCCACTCCCAGGTGCCCGAGCGCACTGGGACAACAGTGAGGACACGCAGTGTCCCACCCTGCACGTCCATGATGTGTCTCTGCGGCATGCTGCATGGATTATTCATTCCAGCTTCTACAGCCTGGAGAATAGAGTCCTGCAGACAGGGCTTCTGAGGCCTGACCGGGAGCTTGGTGAACGTCAACAAAGTTGCAGCTCGTCCAACTCCAAATGAGATCACCAAATTCTTAGAAGCAACCCACTAGTATATGGAATTACAGATGTGCTGCTCTAAAAACCAACCTAACAGTGATTAAGTCTTAAGTTCTCACAATTTATCACACAGGCATACATTTTTAAAACTCTTGGACACAACGGCAAGCATTAAATCTCTCTGAGGCCTAAGGACCTTTGGCATTTAACACCTGTTAAGTTTTTTAAGTGTACATCCCAAAGGAGTCAACACAAATTTAAGACGCATTTCCCCCCCAAGTATGAATTTACAAGTAACACAAATGTTGCTACCTTCAAAGTCCCCAAAAGGCTCAGCTCTGGGGCAAGGATCTGAATTCGTTCAACAAACATTTATGGAAGATCTGATGTGTACAGAGCATATTGCTACAAGGAGATTCAAATATTTCAGCATTCAAGACCTCACTCCCCCCCTGACCCCGTTCCTTCTTAAGGAAGCCACTTGGCAAAGCACACAGAGGACAGGCACACAATCAGGACATGAAGTGAAACAGAACCAGAAAGTACGTAATTCTGCATGGAAGTTAAATGGATCTTTCTCCAAGATAATAAGTAAAACTGTATCACAAGAGAAAATGCTCAGAGGACCTACTACATGCCAGACACTGGGCTAAGGACAAGGCTGGGAGTGGGAAGTGAGCAGGGAACAGACATATATAAAAAGTAAATAGTAGCTTCCAAAAATAGTAATAATATATGCTAGACACTATGCTAAAATGTGTATGGAACCACAAAAGACCCTGAATAGCCAAAGCAATCTTGAAAAAGAAGAACAAAGCTAGAAGTATCACAATTTCGGATTTCAAGATATACTAATACAAAGCTCTATTAATCAAAACAGTATGGTATTGGCACAAAAATAGACACATAGGTCAGTGGAAAAGAACAGAGTCTAGATATAAACTCAAATTTTTATGGTCCATTATTACAAAGGAGGCAAGAATTTATAATGGGAAGAAAACAACAAACAGTGCTGGGAAAACGGGACAGCTATATGCAAAACAATGAAACTGGACCATTTTCATATACCATGAACAAAAATAAACCCAAAAGGGATTAAAGACCTAAATGTAAGAAGTGAAACCATAAAATTCCTAGAAGAGAACACAGGCAGTAATTTCTTGACATCAGTGGTAGACACTTTTTCTAGACATGTCTTCTCTGGCAAGGGAAACAAAAGCAAAATTAAACTATTGGCACTACAGCATAATAAGAAGTTTTTGCACAGCAAAGGAAACTATCAACAAAAAGCCCACCTACCGAATCGGATATTTGCAAATGATACTTCTGACAAGAGGTTTTAATATCTAAAATATATAAAGGACTTCTACAACCCCCAAAAAACAAAATAATCCAATTAAAAAATGAGCAGAGGACCTGGACAGACATTTTCCCAAAGACAATATACAGAAGGCCAACAGATACATGAAAAGATGCTCAACATCACACATCATAAGAGGAAATGTAAATTAAAACTGAAATGAAATGAAATATCATTTTATATCTGTCAGAATGACTAAAATAAAAAAAAAACACAAGAAATATCAAGTATTGGTGAGGATGTGGAGAAAAGGGAACTCTCATACACTGTTTGTTAGGAATGCAAAATGGTGTAGCTACTGTACAAAACAGTATGGAGATTCCTAAAAAAATTAAAAACAGAATTACCACACGATCCAGTAATTCCACTGTTGGGTATTTGCCCAAAGAAAATGAAAACACTAATTTGAAAAGATATATGCACCCTTATGTTTACTGCAGCATTACTTCCAATGGCCAAGATGTGGAAGCAACCTGAAAGTCCTTGACAGAATGGACTAAAAAGATGTGTGTACACACACACACACACTTAGCCATAAAAATTAAATCTTGCCATTTGCAACAACATGGATGGAGCAAGAAGGTATAATCCTAAGTAAAATAAGTGAGCCAGAGAGGCACAAATACCATATGCTCTCACTCATATGTGGAATTTAAGAAACAAAGGGAAAAAAGAAACAAACAAAACAGACTCTTAAATACAGAGAACAAACTGGTGGTTGCCAATTTGTTGGGGAGGTGGATGGGGTATGAGTAACACAGAGCAGTAAATAATGTATTGTTGAATCATTATACTGTACAGCTGACACTAATGTAACACTGTATGTTAATTATACTTGTGTGTGTGTGTGTGTGTGTGTGTGTGTGTGTGTGTGTATAGGAACTTTTCATATGCTATCACTGTCACTAACCCTACTGCAATTTTACAACAGACATTATTTTTACAAGAAAACTGGGAAAGCTACTCAAACTCTTTGAGTATCAAATTGGCCAGGTAACCAGATCAGATGTGGAGATGGAATGTGAATGCATTACTGACTTCAAAGCAAACACTATTTGGAAATATTTAGAAAAGAAACTGAAGCCTGAATGGGCAAAAAAGCCAGGCGGGCCTAGGTGACCAGGGTGCTGAGGGATAAAAGCTGGGCAGCTGAGAATCAGCTATGTCTTCCCCACGGGCCTCCCCACATGCCCCATACTTGTGGCTGAGGCTCCGGTAGCAGCCTTCTCACCTTCCTCATCAAGTCCCTGGCTTCTATTTTGATACACAACTCAGAAGGCCTTGGGGGAACTATATAGGTTTTGAAAATTTCCCTCTAGAATCTTATTAATCTCACTGAATTCACTAACTGTGCCTTCTGTAAAGCAATTTAATATTTATAAGATGTCTGATTTTCTTGTCTTTGTAACAACACGTAGGTGCCACAAAACAAAACACTGAAAAAGCAGCACGTACTTCACGATTTTGAAAAATATGAGCCCAAACGTACATAGAAAGGAAGGGGTGTCTTTCTCTGACTTGTCCTCTCTGCTTAGATCCTATTGAAAGATTATATAAGTTAAGAACTACA